TGATAAATAACGAGGCACCATGTGCTCACAGTAGCCCGCATGGGCAATTTAGATGCCAGGCATCAAGCTTCGACAGAGGCAGAGTCCAGATAGCTACATCTTCCCCAGCTCGTTTGATGTGCTCCACGCTTGATTTATGAGGTTGTGCTGATTCTCCAGGACCGAAGGTTGTAGCTTGACAAGCCGCATCGGGCTCCACGTGTGCTTGTGAACTCAGCTGTAAGGCCAAGAGTGCTAGGCTGGACGGGCACGGGATTTCGCCTCGGCTTCCTGCGATTTTGTTGGTTCATATTTTTAGGGCGCAGTTTTTGAGCTAAGAAGTTTGCGCGCCGTGGTGCACCTTCTTTAAAGCATGACGCATGCCCAGAGCACAAAAGGGGATTTGTCTGTGCCTCTTTCGGACACCATGACAAGATTCTGCCATTCTGCCAGGTGGAGGTAACCAGGTAGTCGTGTCCGGCCGCCAGTAGGCTCCTTGCACAGAGTTTTCCTTGTGTGCCGAGCCTGTCCTTGATAACCTTTGGTGGAAACTTGGTAGTTTCCATAGATAAGGGGACCCCAAGATAGACCCCCAAATACTATAACCCTTATCATTGGGCCCCCCTAAAAGGTACCCTGAACGTTGGGAAGCTTCCAATTCTGGGGGTGTCCTGCGGCGCCCAGGTGTTGGAGCATTGCCAGCATCTTGCTGGACCCACCTTCAACCAGGGTTCCTGATGAGATTTGAGTCATTGACTGGATGCTTTGATGTTCGGACTGCTACAACCCGGCTGTCATTGACATTAGAAGCATGATGAAGCAGCGGTATAGAGTTCAATTTGCGACATGGAAGCAGCTGCTGCGATGCTGATTGATTGCTGACGGATTGTTGCGGGCAGTGCTGATTTTTCAGGTTCATGCCAAGCTTTCCGCTCGACAGGTGTTTATGTGGGTGGCCCACAAGACGTCAGTGTTGCAGTATCGTGATGCGTTTGCTCCAGTTCCTCGAGGGTCCTCAAATAGGACAGACCCGCTTCGAACGCTGGTTCATGGGAGTCAGTCCTATGTGGCGGGCAACTCCTAGGACTGTTCTTACATGAGATTGAAAGATGCAGCCGGATGACAAAGCCATCAGCAGCTCAGAACACGGCCTGAAGTTGAGTTCCATTTACACACTGTGGTCTTCTTTTGCAGCTGCATCTTCATTTGCAACGCTGATGGTCGCTAGCCACACGTGAAGCCCAAACCTCGGCTTTCCAGCAGCCGTAAAGCACATTGTCCAAACCGTCAAGATGTGTGAGATCAGCTTCGATGTAGCAAAATGGAGAGCGGCGATCCCGATCTTGGCCATTGGAGTTGGGGCTTGATAAGTCGCAGCTTCCCTTGACTGTCGCTACCTGCTGACCAATGGAAGTATTAAAAGGTTTGCGCGCCGTCCTCTTCGCGTTTGAAGCGTACTGGGTAGTTCTACATCGCGTTGGCCACCGCTTGCATGGATGTCATGCAGGGCGCGTGCTGCGAGAAGCATTTACATGTCTAGGCGCACTCGTCAAGTAGACCCTGATCTAGGGAGACCCGCAGGCAGCCCGCCATGCCCGCCTCACCTCTGCTTGGGTGAGTCAAGTTTTTGCACGTAGCTCCGACTCTTGCTTTCCTTCCGTGTCTAGCTGTGTGTCCTCATCTTTGTGGAGAGGAGGGTGATGGAAGCTGTCTCACATTATGCTCTGCGTGTGTATGCCTTCGGAGCTGTATCGCGCGCTGGGGTCTTAGGTGTCTTGAGCGTTGGCCTTCCAAGCCTGGAATTAGCAGGTGAGCAAATCTAGCTGGCTAGCTGGCTTGGAAGATGACATGACAATCATGTGACACTACCGAGATTGATTTTCTTCATGAGCTTCCGGTATAGACAGAGCTTCGTTGTGAGACTTTCCAGCATCCAGGTGTAAGGGCAAGAGCTGCGGAAGTTTGCAACTGGTGGATTGGGACCTTAGGTATGCAATCCGGATAAAGGCTGTAATCAGCCCAAGGCATGGCTTCAAACATGGGTTAAGCAGCTGCATACCATGTCGATACCTGCAAAGGCACAATGAAGACTGCAGTGCAATGCACAGTGCTGCGATCCTTTGATGGCTAAAATGCGGAATCCGAAGCTGTCTGTCAGTGTAGCATGCACTTGGCAACGGTGTCAGCTCTGTCTTGCCCGCGCATGGCACTCTAGCAGAGAGGAACTCGCAATCTGAGCTACTTGGGGCTTTGGGGGCCTGCCGTGTGGATGACGGACTTCAGAACCCTCGAAGCACGGCATTCTTCCAGTGCGTCCCGGCAGGCTGGTGCCGGGTCTTCTGCCTGCCAGACGAGCTCGGATGCCGCGCACTGCGCTGTGGGGGAAGTCGCTTCGTTTGGAAGCTCCGTGTTTGCAGTTGCTGTGTCAGCTGTAGCACGTGGCCGTGGTGGCCAGGGTGGGCCCACCGTCGGCCACCGTGTGCTCTTCCTCGCTCTCTACGGCTCCAGGGTCCCCTTCCCAGCACGAGCGCAGGATGCGCCCTTGTATGCTGCCAGTCCAGTATGTGTCCTGCCCTCCAGAGCGCATCAGCACGGTCTTGCATGTGCAGTTGGACTTGCGCCCCTGTGTGCTCACTCGCCACCATCTGGCATGAGACGTCGTGCCCATCCATCTGCAAACCTTCAGGGCATTTAGCTCAACTTGCAGTGCCCGCAGCCTCGGATAGGAAGTTCTGGGATCTTAGCATTCTGATTCAGCTCTGGAGGACCGGGACGGCGCCCCGAAGGTGCAGGCGCCGCAGGTGCCGGAAGCGCACTCCACGCCTTGGTGCTTACAGATGTGATCTTCGGGGGTTGCCTGTTGCTTTGGGGGATGGATGGTTGGGGTATAAGAGCTCCAGCAGAGAGACCACAACCCTTTCCCATCCTTTCCTCTTGATAGGCTAGCTCGGCAAAGCTCACGGAAGGCTGTCCTTTGACAGTTCTTCCTTCGAGCGTGCTGGTCATTGACATGTTCAACCCTACTTCGTGACAAGTACGGAGCTAGGCGGCAAAGACTGACCTGGCACTCATCATGGGGTTAACAACCGTCAGGGGTCTCCTCCCGGGAGTGGGCACATCATGGGTAGCTCTTTTTTGAGAAATGCTCATGTTGAGACGGTTTGCTGGCTTCCTGTGAAGTTGTGGATCGCCAACAATGTCCAAAAGCCAGATTCTTGGTATTATCTGGGGGGTGGATTTTTCTGAAAACTTGAGACACCAAATGTTGAGAGAAGCTACTGTCTGTGGCTGGGAGTTTTTTAAAATGGCCCGTCACGACAGGATCCTTGGGAGGGATCCTGAAGTGCCGTTCTATTCTCCACGGCTTTCTTTAGGACATCCCTTTCTGCCCGTCAATCCCGAGCCCTAAACCCCACACCCTACCCTAAACAAATCTTAAATCCTGAACCTGACCATCTTGTAGCCTGAAGCCTAACTTCGCGCTTTCGCACAACTTTGGACCTGCAGCTCACCACCGTGGTGCTGAGTTGGACTCAGCCAGGCTGCGAGAAGCAGATCCATTATTTCTCAACGTGGGATTCCTCAGATGTCATGCAGCTCGCAAAAGTGGCTTTCACCATAGGGAAACCCCCAAAAGGTTCCACTCTGTCTTCAGGTTGCTGTTTTCAAAGTTCGCATGTCCATGGTGCAGCCTGATTGGTCAGGTGCACAGCTACAAAGGGAGGTGCTGATGGTGCTGGTATGCGCACTCTTGTCAAAGTCATTAGAGCTCACATGCTGAGACTGTCTGGGGTTTGATTGAGTCCCCAGCATCCAGACAGATGATTAACGTTTTAGTGAATTTCAGTGATTCTAGTCACTAGAATGTGCTTTGAGTTTGGCACGGCGCCATTTGCATGTGAAGGCACAGGTCAAGAGACAGCTCTGTCTGTAACATGATCGGGAGGGAGTCACCTGCCACATGGTTGCCATCATTGCAGACATGCATCGTCAATCTGTCCTGAGACAACGAGCTCATGGCCGAGGGGTTTTCATGCAGGCAGGGTGCTCTCATACATTTTGGCACAGTCCCTTCTGGGCATCGTGCAAAGGCCTCAGGCCAGCATTTGCATCTGAAGCAGGCTTGTGGTTCCAGATGCCGAAGCGCCTTGTGGTGCTTGAATCAGGTTTAAGTCTCATAATGCTGGGCGCATCCCAAGCACCGTTTGATTCCCCTTCACATCTCGGTGCAAAGCAGGTGATCTTCCAGCATGCGTGCAGGGCTGCAACGCGACGTAGGCTTCCTGCAGACAGCTTTGCTGGTGTTGCTGACCAAAAGAGAGGGCAGCTGTTCATGCCACCAGCTTCTGTTCGTGTAAACGACACGTGTGATGTTGAGGGCTCTTTCATGCAAAGATGCCTGCAGTTGCTTGTTGTTATCATATTATATTGGGATGGCAAAGAGATGCCCATTTCTGCCAGTGTGGATGCTTGACACGATTGAACCCGCGTGCTCCGGCAACAAACTCAACCTTGTATTGTCTCACTGAAGCGTACTTAGGTTCCATATTCTTCAGAAAGGTTGCATGTCTGCAACTCTTCGTACGCTAGAACATGCAGGACCAACTAGGCTTGATGACCTGTTCTTGCATGGGTTTGCTTTGGTGGAAGAGGCGCCTGGATTCACAAGTTATGCCGGGTTTTAAGCAGCGCCAGATGATTCGTAGGCGGAAGTGTTCGTGGTGGCAGTGACACTTTTGGTAGACCGGAGGAAGCTTTCGGTAGACATTCTTTGCGTTTTTTTGCCAGGCTTCCAAGCAATCAGTTGAACAGACCGTTGCCCGCTGATCAGCATTTTCTTTGATGTCTTGTTGTTTGAGAAGCGATGAGAAAGTTCATGTAGCAGGGCTTTAGTGCGTTAGGTTGGTGCTTTCAGTTCAAACTGTCCACTCTTTGTAAGGATATTTTTTTACACCTATTGTCGCAATCGTTTGTCCCTGGCCTTCGATTTAAAAGTATTGTGAAGAACCAACAGACAAGCCATGGACTTGCAGTCCCGAGTGACGTTGTTCATGAACAAAGTTTCGCCCACAAACATTGGGCGTTTCGTGGAGGAGGCTCGGTCAACTGATGGTGAGTTGGCGATGGGCTTGGGGAACTCCGACGACAACGTTTACAGAATGGTTGCCAACTGTATCCTCACTCACAGTGTGTGGTCTGGGATGAAGCGTTCCTCCGCTGCCGCACTGACGGTTGCAGACGTCATCCTGGCCCTGGATAGTTCTGCCAGCGAGGGGGTTCATGCGGCCGGCGCACCAACTTTGACGTCGTGCGTGATTGATTCAGTCATGCTCAACATGCTTGAGCACTTCTTACTGGCTGGAGAAGGCGACAGAGAGAATCAGTTGTTGAAAGCGCGTGAGTGTGCAAAAGGAGTGGCTCGGCTTATAGGGCAGCTCTTCAAAGCAGGACTGTGCCCTTTTCCGAAGTTCGAAGCGATTCTGGAACGGCTCTCCAGACAAAACATATTTGCTTCCGAGGCTGCTGAATCACTTTTGGAAGAGGAGCCTCACGTTTCTGGCTTGCCCCAATGTGTCTTGCTCAGTGGCCGCATGACCAAGGTGCAGCCACGGGTCGGAGAGAGCATGGGAATGCAATTAACATGGTTTTGGCATGACGTCAACTTTTATTTCCGTTGCATGGATCGAGACTTTAGACATCAAACTACTTAGTTCAACTTTTCAAGATCGACCAGGTCAGTTGGGGATTTCAAGACTCGCCTGGCAAGGGCAATGCGCGTCGCGCCTGGAGCTTTCGTCTTCTGCCTAGGTGGTAGCGAGCCGCAGATAGACGAAGAGATGCAGCATTTGGGGGATGCACAGCTGCTCGTGTGGATTTCGTGATGTTGGTGTGTTGAGCTCACAGCACACTTGTTTGGTCTTTTCAGGACGTAGCATCGTTTCTTTTTTGGCACTTGAAACTCTTTACTTGAGCTTATGTACATGACTTTCTTTTGGGCCATCCAGCGTGATTTGCCGAGGCTTCAGGTCATGGTGAAGACTCCGGTCCTGAGCCAGGGATGCGTTTGAGATCTACATGGGGGCCCCCTTCATGGAGCCTAATGTCCTCTCCCACTATTGTTTTGGGAAACCTCCATGCAGGCCTTGGGATTGAGGAATTGCAGCATTGGGTCTGCACTTTTTTGGGTTTCGGGCTGAGAGATTCTCAGTTCAAGATTGATGGGGGAAATTTGGGGCTCATACGCGAAATGGAGGGATTATGTGCGTAGATTCAGGCTTTCGTCGCAGGAAATATAGGGTTCAGTGATGTCTCAGGGACCCCCTTTAAGCTGTGACATTTAGTAGACCTACTCGTCAGTTTTTTGATGCAGCATAACTCCTACACTCCTACACCGCAACCTGTTGTATGCGGCATCCAAGCCTCAACAAGTCCAGCTCTGTGCCGGAAGGATGGACACAACGAAAGCTGCTAGTACGACGGACATGGCTGAAACAGTCTTTGCCCCTTTTCGTACATTCACGTCTGATGAATACCATTGCACTATAGCCCTATTGCGTTCTCCAATATTTCAGGCCTCATGCTCCGAGCCATGAAGTCCAAAAGGGGAAGCCCAACTGCCAGCGAGGAATGAGGAGCATCGGGTGGAGCACACATGCCTGCTGCTGGCGGACACTGCCGCAAAACTGCAGGCCAGTGGAGTTGACATAGCAAGTTGAAGATTCAAACTAGTTCGGTTTATTCTTCAATTCCATCCCGACACAGGCACCGGAGGCTGGACACAGGAGTAGATTCTGGGATAATCTCCTTTTTTTCGGGATCAATGTCTGGTCCACGTGGGGGCACAAATTCTGCCTGGGTAGGTGAGGTCACCAAGGCGACGGACATTCCAGCTAACTCTCCAAGAAACATGGTGAGGAGGATTTTTGGGGGAGCCGCAATTCAGGGACGTGGCCGGAACATTCCGCTCTCTCGGGGTGAGAGATTCGCGGTAAATTTGTGGGAGCCGGGGTAGGCAAGATCGCGATGGGACGCAGGCCCCGGATAACTTTCTGTAGCTGGGGCGAGGGCAGACGACTGAGGGGTCATCACGAGTGAGGTTCGAGAAGCTGAGGGAACGACATTTTCGGGAGAGCAGGGATTTGGGGAGTTAGGGTTTCAGGCTGACAAGGAATGTTGTGAATGGGGCCGTCGGTGATGATGATTTGCCATTTGATTTGATTGACATGATATGTGCTCATGTGTGCGAGGAGCCGGGGGGGGTAACGGCTCGTGTTGCAAGCACTTCGGGCTCGGAGTTCTTTGTGGCCAGGGCCTCTTCAGGGCTTAGAGCTTGTGGGTCGTTTAAGGTTTAGGGGTCGTTCGGCCTTAGGGATTTTAACTCTTTAGGGTTTCTGGATTTTGGGGTTGAGGATCTTGTGGGGTTTCAGTTCCTTTTCTTCCAAGTTTTAGGGTTCTTTAGCGTTCGGGGTCCAGTCGCGAACCGTTCATTCAGGAACGTGGTAGTAGTTTTTTTTTTTTGTTTTTGTTTTGTTGAGGCTTCATCATTAGATATGAGACGGGAGCATGCTTGAAAAGAGCAGGGGAGAGGGGGGGGGGTTGCGGGGAGTGCACCCTTGCCATGTGCTAACCATTGAGGAATGTGGCAATTGTTGAGGAGGACTCAGCATTAGACATGATAGGTGT